TCCATCTCTTATTATTTGCTCGAATACCATAATAGTCTAATTTCATGAGGAGACGCTGGTGCGGGATGACATCAAAAGCCTTTGAAAAATCAAGCACTGCCATGGCTGTGGTGATATTTTTGTCTAAGTTCTTGGCAAGGTCATTTGTTGTAAGGATGAGCTGAGATTCACACGACCTGTGTTTCCTGAAGGCATGTTGATTTCCAGCCAGGATGTTATGCTTGGCCAAGTGTCGCATCAGGTTACTGTCTATGCTCTAATAACTTACAGCATGTGCACGTCAAGGAAATGGGACGGTAGTTTGCAGGGTCAGTACTGTAGTAGCACCCTTCTTAAACAGCGGGGTGATATTCGCCTTTCCCCAATCTAGGGGGAGATCTCCGGTGTCCAATGACTGCTGAAATATAAACTGTAGTATGGGAGCAATCTCCTCTGCTGCAATCTTTAAAGCTTGATTTTGGATTTGGTCTGGTCCAATTGCTTTGGCTGTGTTTATATTGAGAAGAAGTGTTTTGACACCTTCAACGTCAACTGTGATGGGCGGCATGTCAGGGAATGTACTTGGAGGAAGATCTGGGAACGACGACGGAGATACATCCTCACGTGTGAAGACACCCTGGAATTGGCTTGCAAGGGCTTCGGCTTTATCCTTGTCATTCGTGAACAGCTTGTTGTTAGCTTTCAGCGGCTGAACTCCAGTGTAGTTCTTCTTGATTTCACATATCTCTAAAAAACTTTAGGGTGGCCATTCTCCAAAATAGAAGAAACATGTGTTCTATGTGTATTCCTGATGGAACGATCAACTTGCTTGCGTACTCTGGTGATTTTTTCCCAGTCCAATTTCTCACCACTTTCTTGGCACGCCTGTAAAACTTCTCTTTATTACTGCATATACGTTTCAATTTGCTTGTAAACCAAGGTACTCGCATTCGTCCTTTCAGGAGCTTATGGGGAATATGCTTGGTGACAGTTTCATTAAGTGAGTTTTTTAACCAAGTCCAATTTTCTTCAACTGAGTTTCTGTCCGGTTGGAGATCAATAAATTCTTTGGCAAGTTTTGCAACAATTTCCTTAAAGTCATTATTATTAACTATCCTCCAAAGAGGAATATTACGGGGAGGCTTGGTAGGTAGTTTCACTTTAGTGCGAAATTTAGCAGTGATAATACAATGATCGCTGATTCCAGGAAGAGATGAAACATCACTAACCAAGTCAGGATGGAGTGGTTGGTTATCGTATTGAATTCTTCCGCTTAGCGATGAACCGTGCGTGATCAGGTTATCAAGAAACAGTAGAACTGTCAGAGAAATGAAAGTCTCTAGACGATCAATATGAGAGACATGGGAAGAATGAAATACGGAAATAAAGTGTAAAGAGAACTGATCTTGTGTTATATGAGCATATATCCTAGTTTGATGGAGGGAAGGGATAGGGGCGCCGTACGGGCCACGCAAATTTGCTGATAACTTATTGTATATCTTTTTTAAAGAATGAACATAAGAAAATAAAATGCATCTGATTCTTTATTTCTTTCTCGTCACATTAAAGGTTTATCGTTTTTAAATCTTTGATTACCAAAATATTTATATAAACAAGTTTTGTACAATGATCGACAGACGTAGGCGAGGACACTCCAACCAATTTGAAATTCGCCACATTAACTCGGACGTCTATGCCAACTCATATTTCCCAAGGACTGTAAAGACATGGAACAACCTACAACAAGCAACCATCGACCAAACCTCCCCGCTCAAAAATGCAGTTATTTAAGAACTTTTTTCCAAAATGTAATCGTCCACCCTCCACCACCTCCAGCCAAAACTCTTCGGAGTATTTAGGAGGAAAAGAATCCAAGATCCAAGATCGACACAGTAGAGACAAAAATAATAACCACAGCGGTTTAGCGGTTACCAGAGCCGTAGCCAGAGTTTGATGTTTGGGGGAGGGGAGGGGCACATACATGTAATCGATCGACGTCATGAGGAGGGGTCTAAAACAATCAACCGATCTTGGAAGAAAAAAATTGGGGGGGGGGGGGGGGCACATGGCTACGTTCCTGCAAATAAAGGGCTGACAAGTCTAGGAATTACATCGGTTCAAATTGTCTTTTGAAGTGATCTGTTGTTATTTGACGGCTCCAAAATGTGGTGAATTAATGCTCTTATAAACTGCTATGAATAACGTTGTATGGATTAGGATGTATTGTATGGGGGGGGGGGGGGTGAAGCGGGAGTGTGTAACACTTTTGAATTTACCTTTCCTCCACCCATGTCTTCATACCGTCACTCATTAATCCCTACATAAGAAGTGATCACTTCCAGTTATAACTGTCAATTCTTGATCAGATATCACTGAAAGAATAATAGAACTAACTCAACTATTACATTTGATTATACAATTGTACTCTATTTTCCTACAAAAATTATTAATGCATATAACCTAAAAAGTTAACCATTATCTTTGTTTTGAGTATTTAAATATGTTTATATACGTTTTCCTTTTGTACTAATGAATGCAAACATGAATATGAATATGAAACATAAATATTCTTTTATTATATAGACACACAAAATAATTATAATGACGAGCGATAGAGTATAATGGACATATAATACATATTAGATAAAATGTGCAGATACAGAGAGTAGACCGTAACAAAGCTCATATAATAACAAATATAACCATTTGCAGTAATGAATGCAAACAAGACGAATCTCTTTATATCTAGAAAGAACGATGAATATGAATGTGTAACATATCAATATTCTTTTCATACACAAGAATTATTTAGACATGCAAATAATACTTTAACGAGCGATGGAGTATAATAGGCCTATACAGTACGTCCCAGAAAAAACAAAACCGAGAATTATCGATGTTTAATCATAACTTAATCACAATTAAAATTAATAAATGAAACACAATTATTTGTAAAGCTTAGATCCTTCTTTTTCATTTGATGCATATTTTACGCATGAGTGATTAAAAACAATTTGAAGAAAGGGTACCAAAAAGTCATATAGCGAACGGTATCTGAATTTCAACACACACACACACACACACACACACACAAAAAAAACATTTCTAGAAAGTTCATTTTCTGCCGTATATGACACCTTAATCAGGAAAAATGAACCAGGATTAACAAAGTTCTCTTTGTTTAATGTAATGCTTGCATTTCAATAATTTTATTAAACGAACCCATTCCACTGACTGTCTGCCCTAACAACAAAGAAGACGAAAGACTTCATGCATGGCTGATCGTCAGCGAAACGTAGTTTGAATCATTACATAACAACAGATATTCTAGATATTATCCTTACCAACGTTATAATGCAAAAAACACGAACGCTTCGAGAAATTCCGTTTTTATCTTAAGTGGAATCATCACATATTCTAGTAGTACGGAGCCCGCCATGAGGGGAAAAATTTCCATGATTACTTCGTTCCCTCGCAATAATTATTTCGTTCCGTCGCAATAACATTTCTTTACCTCGCAATAATTATTTCGTTCCCTTGCAATAATTATTTCGTTCCCTCGCAATAATTATTTCGTTCCCTCGCAATATTATTTCGTTCCCTCGCAATAATAATTAAATCTTCCGACTTCACTGCTCGAACTGTAACTTTGCCTCACTTAAAGCTTGTCCCACATTATCATCTATTGAAATGAAATTAGAACAATAGGAGCCTTTTATTTCATGACTTGATGCGGTCGTATTATAACCCCAATACCAGGAATACTTTGGATCTGCTCGTTATTTATAAAGACCACTATTCTTAGGGCCCTATTCGGACCGCTATTCATAATTTGAAAAAGGGTCATTAGTTAAAAGAATCTTACTCATGATAGCCGTTATTCAAAATATGAAAAGAGGGTTCCTATTTATAATACAAACTCGGGTCGTGATCATAAGGGTTCCCATTCATAACACACGAAAATGTCGTTATTTATAACAAGAAAAGAGGGTGAAAGAATAATCATCGACATTTTTTCCTCTCATGTCACCTGGCGGGCTCCGTAGAGTAGACATTAATCCACGTAATACATTACTTTCTAATATAAGTAGGCTTATATAATTATATCTCGCTTTGAAGGTCGAATAAAACATGTCAACTAACATTGTTCTTGTAGTTATATGTGTACATTCAATTACTGGTTACAATGTCATAGTTTAAAATATACAGCGATTTTATCAAAAAATCAATCGTCCGCTCTCCCACTCCCCGTTTCTCTCTTTTCCTTTTCTTTGTGCCCCTCCAAGTGCCGCCAAGTGCCGCCAAGACCCTCTTTTTATGATTTTCAGAGGTTATTAGAAATGTGACACCCTATTTTCATGCTCGATAACTATCTTTTATATTTTTTGTTTTAATTTTCTTATGTGTGTTTTGCATATCAGAGTTTTGGTTCTATAGATCAGCCTCTATTTGGTGCAAAATGCTCAGCTATACAAGATTGGCAAAAAATGGCTGGCACATGATCTAGGGTCGGCAAAGAGTGATAAGTAAATAAATAATTTGTATGGTTACAAAATCCTAGATCAGTCTCGAAATGGTAATGTTTTATTAATCGTATTTGTCTATCTACACTGTCGTCATATAGTTGGAATATTTTTTTTTACCCCAATTTATGTAATTATTTGACAATGGTTTATTCCTAATAGATCTAGATAATAGTATACATTCTCATATTTTATTGAATAATAATTTGCCAGGGGTAAAATGCAATGAATTATTGATAATTTATTGCATGGTTCAGTGGCAAAGCAATGGCCTCGTAACTGTGAGGCCCCATGATCAAAACCGTGTCGATGTGCCATATTTGTGCCCTGTTGTGAGGCATTAATCCTCATTACTGTCATTTATGAATTAAGGGCGTAGGTCCCCTAGTTGATAAGCATAGTAACATACACATGCTTTAGCAGTCGCGCAAAACAAACACTGGCAAATTATTATTCAATAAAATCTGAGAATGTATACTCTTATCTAGATCTATCAGGAATAAATCATTGTCAAAATAATTCCATAAATTGGGGTAAAAAAAAATATTCCAATTCTATGAGCGACAGTGTATAATGGTATGGACAGATCATTGAACCTACACTTAAATAATCATTCTCTAGTCTTTGTTTTGTGTTTCTTTCGATAACAATGGAGGAAGAGGTGGACGTTGACGAGGATGAAGATGGCACCCATCATGATACCAAAGATGCGGAATACCACCAGGAATGATTTCGTTGCGTCATAGATGATACCTTGGAATAAATTCGAGAACAAATAATAATTATGATCTATGAAATATTGTGTAACCACCTTCAAGTAGCATTCGATATGAAGAAAACTAATACCGGTATTGCACATGCAAGCTGTAGGGGGGGGGGGGTGGAGGATGGAGATTAAGTAGTAATCTTACCTGTCGGACCTATTTTGAATGCACAGTACATATACTTGATCTCCTTCCATACAGGGGTGTTATAATGTATAAGAAATCATATTAATAGATCGTTTAGCATGAATTTGGTTTCTTCCAAATATCTATCACTCTAATTAACAGGCTATTAGGCCGGCAATCAGTTATTGTTAGGCTGCTGGAGTAAAGTGAAATAAAACTTAAAATACTTACGAAAACGTTCCTGTAGAGTAATTTGCGAGAAGTTCATCAAGCAATATTATGTTCGGGAGATTGGGTTATAATGAAAGGCTTAAGAAAAAGTTGCATGAAGACACATGAGGCTCTTTGACACATGCTTTAGCAACAATTGCCCCGCTGTCATTTCCCCATACAGTGCGTCCCAGAAAACACGAAACCGAGAATTATCGATGTTTTATCATAACTTAGATCTTAGATACCGTTCGCTAAATGACTTTTTGGTCCCCTTTCTTCAAGTTGTTTGAAATCACTCATGCGTGAAAAATGCATCGTATGAGTTGCATCAAATGAAAGAGGAGGATCTAAGTTTTACAAATATGTGTCATTTATTTATTATAGATAATTCAGGGTTTCGTTTTTTCTGGGACACACTGTATAAAAACCGGGTTCTTAACTTCAACCCTCTACCCAAACTCTACACTTACCAAACCAAAGCTTTAAGGCCTACGTAAACGCTATATTGATCTTACCTGCCAGTAGCCCGGATAACATAGCTCCAATTCCAGAAATGAAAAAAGATATCGCAATTATCCCGGGAAAGTTTGCTTCTGAGACAGTGACTGCAATGACAGCATAGTAAGTGGAGGCAGCGCCATAAAGCCCGTAACCAGCAAAGAATGAACACACGATGAGATGGCTTAGATGGGAATGCAATGGATACAGCACCAAGGACACTCCAGATATGGCAACATCCATTGCGTAGAGTTGTGGACTCCAATGTGGCCTATAATGCATGGCGATAGCAAGGGTGGTACGACTCACAAAACCACCGGAAGCTGCAGCTATGGGAAGGTAAACTGCCAATGAAGAACTAAAACCAACATCAATAGCGTATGACACCATGAACAAAGCCCATCCTATGAAGACAATGTCCAAAATGATTTGACACGGTAGGAAAAAGATTGTAAAGGAAGGCTCATTTCTGAGTGCTTTGATATCGAATGCGATCGCAAGGTATTGCAGAAAGTTGATGCAGCAGGACTTTGGTTTTGTTTGATCGGAATTGTCCTTGCTCTCCCCACGATCTTCGTCTTCGTCCTCTTCCTCAACATCTTGGCGTTTTATTAGTGTTTCTGAATTTGGCGCATTAGCAGTCGATTGATCACGAGGAACTTTGAAGATTGCACCGATTGGCACACTGTTCAGGAACAGTCCTCCAATGCAGAGTAAAGTTCCTTGAAGACCATATGCTTCATGTAACAAGTTAGTAAGAAATGGGATAGTCATGCCACCGACGAGTGAACCAAGGTAGCTGATGGAGTTTGCCGTTCCAAAGTGGTCACCAAAATATTGGCGCAGTACGACAAATGAAGCCTGACATAAGGTTGAACTGCACACACCTGAAAAAACAACAACGGGGTGTCGTGAAAATGTAACAATGAAATAGAAATTGAACGTTTATATATAATTAATTTGGCTGCAGCACTTTCGCTCTGACAGGATTGATAAAGGATAATGTTAAATTGTACGAAGGATATCATTACATTGATTTTTTTCATGAACGAGCAAGTGATTTTTGCGTATTCAACATACCGTCTACAGAAATTACGTCTTTAATTAAATATGCTCTACGGGAAAAAAATCTTTTAAAGGATTTTATAGGGGATGGAATCGATATCTCCCCTTCTTGGAAAAGGGGGCATTGGTCCTTGTTGCCACAAAGCTCATTATGCGCCTATTAGCCTATGACAACGTCACTATGGATTTTTTTAGAGGTCGTTCCGTACTATCTTAAAGGGATATTTGAGTTTTGTTGCAAAGGGCGCTACACAAACTAAGTTTTGTTGTGAGATAATGATAAACTGAGTGTCAAATTTGAAAGAACATACATTTTAAATGACAAAATCATCTTTGTTTGATCGAAGTCGGTTCAGAAACGGCTGAAATATCCATAAATATAAGGAGGCGCTTTAGCTCGATAGGGCAGTGGTATCGTAATCCGGTGACCCGGGTTCGAAACCAAGGCGATGCGCCAGTTCCCTTTGGTAAGGCATTAATCCTCATTACCAGGTCCCTCGGAGAGGACCTAAAGCCGTCGGCTGTCTGGTTGCTTACTTAGCAGTCAGGTAGAATAACCACCACCATTCATAATGCTTTCTAATATTTGTGTTGCCCCACAAATATTCGATAATTTGAACCAGCCGTTAAAAAACGAGATGGCGCTTGATACGTTTTATTCCAGTCAATGCCGATGATGGCTTTTTGTTGGCTTTTTCGTGTTGGTTATATTACGCACAACCAGCCGGCCCGTGTATTGTTATCATTAATTAATTAACTTATTATCAGTCAAAGTATTATTTTGAAAGTAAAGCTGAATTGGTATGATCGTATTGGCTACATTTCACACATTTTGGGAGTCTAAAATTACCGTCATAGCAATTTTAGGTCCTAAAAGAGCACTAGAAAGTTCATAAATAAGAATAAGAGCAATAACCATGCACTTTGAAGGCATTTGCGGTCTGAAACAAGAGCGCAACTATCCTTTTAAGATAACATTATGACCGATATATATTTATATATATATTTTTTTAGAAACAAGAAATCTCTGTTATCTATGTGTATACATCTTATCGCTTAGTATGTATCATGTCAGCTATTATGAATCGTTTTATTTTATTTTTATGATTTACAAGATTCTAAACAGAATGTAGATATATCACCTACATTTAATGAACACAATACAAAAAGCAACTTACTCTATTTCAAGAGTCGGATATCAAAATTTACATCAGTAGCTAAAGTCAAGACAGTAAAAAAAAAATTCAAGACGACAAAAATCCACTAATAAAGATCAAACACGAGTCTACAAAAGATGTCCTAACTACCACTTTAAGCTTGGCTTTTACTTCGCAATAATCATTGTCGAGTTATAGAAAATAGGATTTCCTCTTGTGAGAAAATGCATGAAACTAAAGTCTGACCTTGCTGTCCAAACAAATTTAACGGAAATTGACCTTGCGAATTTGTTGGTTTTTTGGTGGACGGTCAAAATGTCAATACTGAGCGCAAACATTGAATTGGAGTGTGTTGCATAGGCCTAATAAACATCTATACACGATCAATTGGGCAAAAAGAATTTCCATTTTCGGTTTAACCTAATACAATTTGGAGCGGACTTTAAAAAAGATTATTATTTTTATTACCTCGCTCGAAAAATATCTCAACGTCATAAAAAATAAAATCCTGTAAGTCTCCAACATGTGTATTATTGAAAATGATATCGCTAGTGATATTTGTTTGTCTCGCAATGTATGGTCAACAAGGGATCTAAAAGATCACGACGTTTCGTGCGCCACTACAACACTTCGTCCGCAATGAGTAATATATTTAGCATGTGTATTATTCTGTTATGTTATGAAAACATTTAGCGCTTATCAGATTCAAACAAGTTAAACCTTTGACCATGAACCATTTGTATTAGGTTCATGCTTTGACTAACCTGCTAAAAAGAAGAAAGTACCCACTGCTGGTACGGACCTGAAGAAAGCAACACAGATAACACAGAGACCGGTTCCAAGTCCCCCGAGTGTAGCCGTCTTTCTTGCATCAAACTTTCTTAGAAGAAGCTGAGCCAATGGACCTTGTAAAAAAAAAAAACATGGTTCGTGTTTTGTGGCTCCAAAATATCATATAAACTTCGTCTTAATTGTCTTGGCCTTACATCTTCCGATACCCAGTGTCGTGATATAATGCATTACTCTGGGTTATACGAGGTGCTCTGGAATAAAAAGATTTATAACTGTATTATTATTCTATGTATATATATTTTTTTCTTCAAGTCAGTATGTTTACATGTTACAAAAATTATGTTTGTCATTATTTTGAGGGATCCACATTTTATATATAAGCTCTGTTTTTCAGTGGGTCGCTCCATTTCCACAGGTTATATCTTAAAAAAGTTTAAAAAACATTATACTGGATATTTATGTATACTTTCTATTTCATAACTTTAAACCATGTAAAATTTATTATATTATTGAAAATTAAACTGTTTATCTGATTTCTTGTTAAAATTACTGTTCTGTTGGAAATGAAAAAATAAAACTGAAACTGAAACCGTTTTCAAAATGTATTCAAATGTATGAAAAATTTACTTAGCAGCGAGTCATTCAAATCATCTGTTCTGAATTGTTGTATTCAGTAGTCAAAATGCGAACTGCATTCATTAATGGATGCTAGGTCGCACAATCAATATGACATGCCCTACCTAACAACATGTAATGTGCAAATTGCATTTTGACCATATAACATTTTGACTATACAGAGCGCATAAAAAAAAGTGTACCCAACTTTTGTTTTGGTAGCTCTTAACTGAAGAGTCACAACCAATATGACTTTGAAATTGATTTCACGATGAAGGGTAACTTATTTTCTGTCCAATGATACCATATCGATAATATTTCTGGCTCTGGTGACTGAGCACCGGGGTCTTTAAAAAGTATTGTCAAAATCGCCTTGTTTCAAGTTTGGGCTTAAGGAACCAATGTGGGTCTTAGTTCTTAAATACTTTTAATTGTTAAATTATGCTTCAGTGCTTCATTGTAAAAAATGGTGAAATGTATCAAGGCTTTCACAGAACCTTCTTTCAATCCACATGATAATTCTTAATTATTTTAGACAGCCTACTAATTTTTGTCTCATGATGTCTAAGTTTCTCTCTTTTCACTTGTCCACTGCGCCATTTCAAACGCATAAAGAGCAAAAGTTGTTTATCTCGAATAGCGAAAGAAAACTCAAAGGTTACTCAACCAAATGGAAGAGAGAACAGATATGATGATAAATATTAAAGATTATTGACAGCAGACTTGAAAAAAGATAACGTCCCAAATTTTATCATATTGTATCAATGAGAAGGTAACCTTAAAGGGACTTGGTAACATTGCTCAGATGAGAAAAAGGTGCTAAGGTAGTGACTTCAATGCTAGATGTACAATTAAAGATTATCTGAAAAGTTGAGTGAAAACAGACCATTAATTATGATAAAAATTGAAAAAACTGACCTGATCGACTCCAGAATTCTCCCAACCATATTATTATATTTATTTGATCAAATTTTATGTGAATTAAAATTGTCACAAAGCAATGAATTGGCTCTAGTACCATTCCAAACATTTAAGAATCATAAATATCTTTGTGGTTTGAGAAGAGGGTATGTACGGTAGAAGGAATATAATAAGTAACAATTTATACAAAAATCACGCATTTTTTCATCAACCTTCAACAATGTTACCGTGTTTAAACAAGGAATGCGAATGAAGTCAGGAGTGTAATCATCACAACGAAGAGAATATCATAAGTGTTGCTTGTAATAAGCATTTCGTTGAGTTTGAGTCGATATCAACACCTTTTCTTTATTCGACTGTAAAAATGGTTTTGGAATGAGATAACACACACATATGGCATTTGACCCACATTCATTGCTCCAGCCCAAACTTGGTACAAAAGGATTTTGACAATACCTTTTTGAAAAGCCTGCTGTTCAGTCCCCGGTTTAGTCATCCTTGGTAGCAAAATTATTACAATTACTGATGATTGAAGGTCACGCAAGTTATACATTTTTTATCATAAGCTACCAAAGTTGGTTACATGTTTTGTATACGCACTGTATAATTAAACCGGTGAATGAAATCATTCGTATTAAACGAGGCACTTTACAGAGACGTGTGCATTGAATTATATTTAATTACGAAAATGTCATATTCAGCTGTGATGCACACTGGTATTGCTGTGTTTGAACTATTTTCTGAAACATTATTTTAACACAGACTTTGTGGTCGTGATTTGCCAAACGTTAATCTAATGAAATATTCAGAGCAATAATTTGGAGAAAAAAAAAACATTCAAAGAGATATCTTGAATCTGACTCCGATTTAGTTTGACATCCTTCAACTTGCTAATGTGGAAATCTCAAAAACTTTTCAGTTATTAACGATCAATAGTGTCATCTTTTGTTTAAACCTTATAATTAATACCTATCTCTATCATACACCACTGTATCTAAATGTCAATTTCTGCATATCTTTTGAATTCATTACCTCCTCCAAAACAAGAACATAAATCGATATAACGAATATATCAAACGACGTCCATTGGTTGCAAACAAGCAGATAATAATATTATGACCAAACGAGAATGAATGTGTAGTAACCAAATGTCATGATTTTTAACTTTTGCATGTATATATAATAACGTTTCATGCATCGATTTGTACATGTTCAATACGTATTGCTTTCCTATTTTTCAAGATGGCGGCTAGGGATAATTAATTTCCTTTACGTGGTATTTTTCCACTCCGCTGTCTAGCTTTGCAGACATGTCCAAACCGGTTCTGTCTGGTTCGTTACACCATCATCAACAAGACCATCAGATCATCTTCTTCGTCGTCCCCATCGTCTCTGTCATCGTCGTCGTCTTGAGTATTGAACTTTTGAAATTAGGACAAATGCGTATTCCATATTGTGTAAAAGTAAAATGAAGTATGAAATAATACTAAATAGTTGAGAACATCAGTTAAATATTACACAAATAATTTTAAAAGTTACCCCTCCCCACACACTTATTTCGTATTACGTCAGCTTTGCCTTAAAAGTATTAAACGATTTAGCACCTTGTACGTCATGTGGCAAGTTATTCCGTTTTAAGGCCCCTCTATATTTAAAAGATTTTTTGAAATTCTCAGTCTTTGGTCTTATTGTTTTCACATTATACAGACTTGAACGCCTATTGCATGTATGGTCAGCAAATATAAATGTTTTTTGGCTCATGTTTGAAAAGCATTACAGAAAAACATGACAACTTTTATTTTCAAAAAGATTATTAAAAAAATGTTTAATTTCAACTGTTACTTTTTTAAAGCTATTCCCAGTGCCAATGTGAATTCAAATTAATGATAAATTACAAATTAGTTTTCGAAGTGTTTAAAACAATTTCTCATGTTTCCGAATTAAGAAAAATGAGGAAATTTTTAGTTGAAAGGGAAGTTTATGTAAGAGTCAAAATCAGACTCGTGCCATACTTGTATTTGTTACATTTACTATTTGTTTATCTAGTCTCTTCTCTCTATAAATATTCATTTCACATCATTTGCTTATTCACTTACACATGCATTACTTGACCAAATTCCTTCCTCCATTCATCTCCTTTACATACTAAGTCTTCCATTTTACCTGGTATATTCCTTTGTTCTCTTCTCATTCTTTATTCACGAATCTTAGGTATTCCCACTTCTTACCTATCATTTGTTCACTTCTTCTTTTCATTTTGAATATTCAGTCTCATTCTTAAATCCTATTTTGCTATTGGTTGATGATGTATATATTTCATTTGAATATACTTTGCTTAAGAATGTTCAATATGGATGCTGCATGACAGCCTACAGTAAAACACCTGCAAACCTGGACTGGACATGAACTGAGTCAGTTGTACTGATTTAGGGCTCTGCTACTTTTATGTTGGAGACTTAGGAGAGAGGATTGATTTGAGTTTGGCAGTGGTTTTGAATGATTGGTGTTTTAGAGATAGATTGGCAAGGGATTATTTTATCAAATAATAAGAAATAAGCTTTCTAAAGTTAATTTTTTTTTTTAACAATCTACTCATTCAAGTTTAGTTCATTAATTTGAGGTTATTTTATATGAATGTTTTTATATACTGTATTTTACATTTGTAAAACATTGCCCAGTTCGGCCTTGTAGGCCGCGATGCATTGTTGTTCTTTTATTCTCAATAAAAACCATTATCTATATATCTATCTATCTATTAGTTTACAGTAGCTTCTATAGGTGCTATATACACGCTGTGTTTTCTCGCTTTGATTTTTTCCCCCATATGATATATACCAAGGAATGATCGCTATTTCCGGTATGAATAACTCCGCTTTCGGCAACCTATGAGAAATTTTAGACATAGATAAAGTCAATAAGTGTCCTTGCATTCTGTACAATCCTAGTTGGTTTATTAATTACTTGAACCAATGAAAATTTATCACAAATCTCGGTTAATCGCATTGTATAGCAACTTGCTGGGCATGCAAGCAGGTCACAGTTCAAATCTCCTAGAACAATGATATCTTTCTTCTCATTGTCGTTATATAGCTTCGAACTTGTCAAACAGATTAAAAACTGATCCCGGCGGTCTTTACTAAGCAATTAATATTGACGGTGAACATTTAGGAAGACTGATTTTAACTGATACCATTTTGATATCCTCAGTCATGAGATAAGACCTGATTTAATGGTTAAGTCGATTGTCATTGATATATAAAAGCACTCCCTACCTTGTCTATCACGGTCCTTTCTGTACGAGTCATCAATGCGTATATTATCATCTGATATTATTTCACATAATCGAGTTTCATTCAATTCAATAACATCAACATTATTTTCAGATACAATCACCTGTAAATCATCAAAATTAGAGCAAAGCGACCGTATATTTAGATGAGCAAGTCGCAATCCACAGTTTCTCTTTAATAATAATAATAATAATACATTTATAGAGCACAGCTTTTATACAAAATATATTCAGCTGCGCCGGTTAAGAGCTCCTTTTTTATACTAAATTCTACAAAATAAGATCTCTCAATTAAACAAATAAGTTTTTTTAATTGGATTTGAAAACATTGAGAGATGGAGTGCTTCGTATTTCTATTGGCAAGCTATTCCATATTTTTGGGGCAGCAGTAGCAAAAGCACGGTCCACGAGAGTTACTTTTGCCATGGGGAATCTGAAACAATAATTTATCAGTGGAACTGCGCAGGCTACGACTATGTGACTGGACTTTGAGTTGAAGTAATTCTGTTATGTAACAAGGAGCTTGACCACTCAATGTTTTATATACAATTAACAATATTTTGAATGAGATTCTTTGACGGACAGGCAACCAGTGGAGTTCCCCCAGAAGAGGTGCGGTTGAAGTGAATTTCGACCGACGATAGACAAGTCTTGCACATGCATTTTGGACTCTTTGTAACTTAGCTATCAGAGAATGGACAGCTAGGTCAGAGATCGTCAGTTTGGAAGTATGACAAATATGTAGGCTAACCATCTCATCAACTTGATGGTTATTTAATGGTAGTCAATTTTTGTTCATCAGCAGAAAAATCACTTGCTTCATCCATGCTATTTAAGTCAGCTTCTCCACCATCAAAGTCTTATTCTATTTCTTTATTGAAATTTGCCTCGTTGTCATCGAAGTCAGTTTCAATATTACCATCGAAATCGCTGATATCATTAACCTCCGTGGTACGCGCTCGAGACGATTCCGTTTACTATGATCACTGTTATTTTTATGTAAATTATTTGCCGTCTGAGGGAGTTGCTCCCCGAGACATTTGATTATTGTGTGTATAGTTTTAGTACACCACGAACGAATATACGACCCTTGATTATTTGTGTTGATTATCTATATATTAAAGGTACTATGTCCCACAGGCCGAAAAATGAAAAGGTTAAATTCCAACGGCATTGAAAGATAATACTAATTTAGGACTTACCTAAAAAAGGGGGGCTTCAACATGTCTTTAAGTGGGAAATAACGACTATTAGTTGTCGAATCGACTTAAGAGCTATAGAGCCAGTAAGTAATAGTCTGATTTTCAGACCATTATACCGAATGGTCGTACTTTTTATACTGCGCAAAGATTCAATCAGTTTAAATTTGGCCATTACAAGACGTGGGTTATTGATGTAGACAATGCTCATGTACCTTTACAGCTCATTTTATGTATGTCATTACCAAAGAAGAAAAAAAGCCAGTCAGTCTCTCAATAGTGTCTGACAGTGAAGTCTAGCAAGTAAACGGGTTCCCTTGCATAATTTGAATATTAGGACACTGCTAACTCTTAAATTTCACAGATAGGACATACATGACATATTCATAATTATAAAGAATTAGATGTTTGCTGCAAAAGGGACATAGTATCTTTAAATCGTTGATATTGATTTCATAATCTTATAGTTTCATAGTGTCATTTATTCCTCGTAAGATGGTCAAGTTAAAAAGTACGACCCCACCCGGGGAGTTCTACAAATGAGTAATTATATCACAAGACTTACATGCCATGTAATTCATGGTGATCTGTAGTGAGAGGAGGAAACCGACAGTAGCATAGCTGATGTTGAGCTGAACAACGAGTGGAGGAATAAGTACTCCCATCGACTTCATTATCCCTTGTTGTAAAAGATGGTTTGAAAACTTGCCAAGGAGCACCACGTAACGCCATTTCGGTAGACGATGGCTTGTAGTTTTTCTGGACGTCATAAGGCCCGTTAGAATAAAATGACCAGGTCGTTGTGCATGTAATAACAGTCGACTTGAATAGTGAGCTTCCAAAATGACATCAAAAGAGACGGGGCAATAGATCAGAAGGTCAAAAATTTGGAAGTGAATCGTTATTGTTTGGTTTACGCACAGGTGAACCAACACAAAAGATCGCCACTATCAGCGTGTACACACACAAAACAATTTATCCCGAAACTCTATCAGCTATTTATAACTCTATAAAATAAAAACTTGTTGCATTGCCCTTTGCGACCGACCCACAAATCTGAAAATCTACGGTCGGCATTTAAAATTTTTTTTTTTTTTTTTTTAACCGTTTTTTAGATTTTTTTTATTAATGAATACAAAAATATGTATTTTGTTTGTGTAAATGGGATATAAATGCATAAAATCAAATTATTACAAAATTCTCACTCGTGCAAACCATGGATGATTATGAGGTGAAAAAGATATCAATGGAATGATGACGTTGAAACACATGTATTAAAGCATTAAAAACTGAGAAATATCAGCCAAAAGAGGGCGGGACAAAAAAACATTCAAATCTGAAAAATATCGAACCAAAGAGGGCGACAAAAAAAAAAAGTTTAAAAAAAAATCTTTTCCGACCGACCAAACCATGTTTTGGCACCCAAATGGCAATGCAACAAGTTTTTATTTTAGGCCTAACGAAACGTCGTATAAAGAATCATCGTAGGCCTATACATTCCAGGGTGTCCACACACACACAAGAAAGTAATCCTGAAACTCTCTCCAGCGAAACGTCGTATAGATGCGCAGTTTGCTACTGCGGTCATGAAATGGAAGCGGAAATGAGAGGTCAGGTCTCCTTTCACGCGAGGTCACGTTAAGCCCCGCCCCCTAGTTCGACTAGTTATACTAGTTACGTCCACACACAATACATTCCGTGATTAGGCGTGATTCTTTATTGAGTTCTAGTTCGAAACGATGCCCAAACCCGCGTTTCGTTATACGACGTATCGTTAGTAAGCGTCCACACACGCAATTTCATCGTATAAATATCCCGAAACGGTATAACTAAATACCCCTAATCACGGAAAGTGTTGTGTGTGGACACGGGGTATATCTTCAAAGTAGCTTCATTATTATTATGAGCTTAGGTGCGCCCGAGCGTGAGCGTCCGACCATGCTGCTTAGTTCGCGAAGCGTATAGCTAGCTGTGCCTACCTCACAGACAATTAGACTTTGATTATTATCGCTTTGCCTCACTATTTATAAAGGCAAACAAATCCGAATAAATACTTAGGTTCGAACCCACAACTACAACGTCTTATTACGCTGTTCTTACAGATTTAGCTAAAGATGGGATAATCAAGGACGTCTCTAAGGGAGAGGGGGTGGGGAGGGGGTGAGATGCGACACCCCCATCTGTTAGGATATTGTAGGTAAAATTGCGCTGCCGTCGGGGAAAAGGGGGAGGGGAAGAAAGAGAGAGAAAGGGAAAGAAAAGAAAAAAGACAAGGAAAAGAAAGGAAAAAAGGAAAAGAAAGGAAAGAAAGGAAAAGAAAGGAAAGAAAGGAATAGAAAGAAAAGATAATAGAAGAAAGGAAGAGAAAAAAAAAAGAGGGAGGAGAGAGAAGAAAGGAAAAGAAAGAAAAGGAGAAAAAGAAGGAAAAAAAAGATAAAAAGGAAACAAAAGAAACAGGGAATGAAAGAGAGGAGAGAGGGGTAGGAGCCTGAGAGAAGAGAGGTGGGAGTAAGAGAGAGATGGGGATGTTGGGATGTTGAAGCTTTCACGTTTCATTAAATTATTAGAGAGAAAGAAGACGATTCGTTGTACCGTTCTCTACTCTTAATCCTTGTCTGAATTCAGTTTTCCCCCTCGCGCGAAGCGCGGAAGCTTTGGCGTTTTATTAAATTAGTAGAGAAAGAAGACGATTCGTTGTACCGACTCTAAATCATTGTCAGAATTTTCAAAAATGTTTCTTTGTCCGATAAAACGTCACAGTTCGTACGGATTTTTTGTTATCCCATTATTCTTTTAAAATAAATGCAATTCCTCATGTTTCTGTTTTGGTTCTCCTTGCGCTATTTTTTTTTGGGGGGGGAGGGGGGGCTACACGCCTAGCAAGAGGGACCCCATATAATGCACACTGCAAAATTGGGTGCCCCCGCCCCTATCCCAGTAAAAAAACACTTTCTTATAATATCATCCCCCTTTCTTTCTTTTCCCTTCTCATTATTCTCCTTTTCCCCCTTTTCTCTTCTCCTTCTTTCCCCCTTTCTTCCTCTTCCCTTTTCTCTCCTCCCTCTTTCCTTCTTTTTTCTCTCTTCCCTTTTCTTTCCTTTTCTCCTCCTTTTTCTTTCCCCCTCCTTTTTCTCTTTTTCTCCCTTTTTCTTTTCCCCTTTCCCCCTTCCCCCCTTTTTTTTTTACTGGGGGGCACGTGCCCCCTGAATCCGTCACTGGTATAGTTGTATTGATGTACAGTTTCCTGCGTTCTGATTGGCCGGCTGGATAGACGTATAGTTGTACGAATAATGGCATGCTTGGCCCGCCATATACCCCGCCATATTTACCCAGACTAGCTCTTAACAAGACCATTTATACCATAGGGTAACTTACCTCCGTCTGAACGTAGCTATATTGTCTACCGACATCAAAGGCCGCCCATAAATGGTAACCTGAAAGCGAAAGCGAAAAGAACTCTTTTAGACATTGTGTATACCCTTACATTGTAATTAATACATGATCAGTTATGATCTTTAAGATTTTTTATTTATATGGTCCAAGATCATACTGCTTCATCACAATGCTTTAATTGATAAATTAGTGTATTGTTATGCAAACTGGTTAGTATTTATCTAGTATTAATATTAATTAGTATTAATATATAAATTTGCAAAAATATTGTAAAATTAAGCCTCCGGGATGCGATGCAAAATTCATCGCCGTTGCGCAAATGAGAGAGAGAGAGAGAGAGAGAATTGACAGACAGACAAATAGAGAGAGAGAGAGAGAGCGAGACAGAATGAAGAAGAAGAAAATATGAATGCTGATTAAAATCAGTGTGCTGGTATATAAAAAAGTATTTTCCACATGGGCTGCTGCTTCATAACCACCATATTCAATTTGCGACGAATAACAATTAAACAATGTACAGAATGAGAACAAGAAACCATGAAGTACACAGACTTATAAAAATAGGTAAATCACGTTACGTTACTGAAGGAAGGAGTATGTTTTTAAGGGATCTTTTGAAGGAGGCAAGACAGTTTAATTCTCTGATGGAAAGTGGGATATTGTTTCGTCTTTCAATAGATGAGAGTCTGGATTTAGGAATACATGTAATAAATTGATAGAGAGGAGCCGATCCTACCCAAATCAGAGGCTAACGAACGAAAAGGTAGAAATGTTTGGTCTAGTACTCTGCATCTGCAAGAGTCCGAGTCGAAAAAAGAAAACTGACCAAAGTGAATTCGAACTTTGACTAGTATTTGTATGATCTTTTTTGTTGGCTTTAAAATAAAATGTTATTGTCTCCATGTCTCAAAGAATATGCAACATGAACTTTACTTTTACTTAAATAACCCCAAAAGAACTTGATTATGATTATAAAATGCTTGATAAAAATGTAAGCTGTAATCGGTAGGTGAAAAAAGCTGAACTTGAAATCACTTTTTATAAAGTTGAACATTAATTCTAACCTGAGGCTTTGTGATTGTTTATTTTTGGTTCATAATGAACAGAGTCTGCACTTTAAAGTGCTATTTTCAACTTGAGTTTTAATTATTGTGTTACTCTATTCTGAATCCAAAGATTTTGATCAGCTTATCATGGGTAGAATGTGTGCAGTTATTGGGTGTGCAAATATCATCCACAAGCTTAGACTGTTGGTATACCAATCTGTGTGATAGACATAGATGCAAGTTTGGAAGCTGTATCCGCAAAAGCCCCCTTTCGTGTTATTTCCTTTTCCATCAGAAAGAAAAGATCCTAATGGACGCACATGTGGGCTAAGCTGGTACAGGCGTGTAGCCAGGGGGATAGGCGGTGAGGGCGGTCGCCACCCAAAAAAACGCCGGCCCCCCCCCCCATGAGAGAGAAGAGAAAACAAAAAAAGAGACGTAGGAAGAAAAAAGGAGTCGAGAACGTACAACGAGTCGTCTTCTTTCTCTTATAAATTAATGAAACGTCAAAGGCGATACAGATAAGGATTAAGAGTCGAGAAAGGTACAACGAATCGTCTTTTTTGTCTGATAACACGTCAAAGCTTTCGCGCTATGCGCAGGAGGGAGTGGGGGACTGAATTCAGACAAGGATTATGAGTCGAGAAAGGTACAACAAATCGTCTTCTTTCAAAGCTTCCGCGCTTCGCGCGGAAGGGGGGGGGGGGGGACTACTCCCTCCCTGCACCCCCCCCCCCTAGGGAGTGCGTTTCGCGCGCTCTTTAAGGGATTCGCGTGCTCACTACCGCCCCCTAAAATAAAATCATAGCGCTTGAGCTGGTAAATCGTAAAACTGATAGTGGCCATAATTGGCAGCCGACCTACCAAGACAGAATATATTTAGAGCACTTCAAAGAGGGCGAACCAACGGCAGCATGGCCAGACCCTACCGAGAATAGTTCAGATCGTTCTTCTGCTAAATCACATCGCAGTGTTCGTAAAGTGCGTTTTCCTCGATCTGTGAGTATATTTATGATTGAAATGTTGGAATATCATTAGTATTAAAATCATAGAGATCCTTATGATTAAAATGCACTTCTTATGGTGAAGGGAAATTAAATATACTCAATCTTGCACAGTAGCACTTCGCTGAGAGAGGTAAGCCAACTCTGAACTCGAAAACAGGAGTCTGGAAAGACAGACCCCTCATCAGTAAAAGAGATCCATGAGCTCAAGTTCGAAAAGATGAACATCAAAGAAGGAACGACGTGGCGCAGATAATCTGACAAGATTGAAGAGCCCCATCTAAACGCCAACAACAACAACATGTGCTGCACGAGAAAGGGCAGAATACATTCCAAGAAAGAGAACTCGCAAAAATAAAAATGAAGAAACTACAAGCGCAATGGATACGACAGATCTTGCTTAAAGCCCCACTGTACTACTTGTAGCTACTTGCTCCCTCTATATAGAAAACAATGCTTAATCGGTCACCATTGGTCCCCCATGATCTTCTTTTTGTTATGTTGATTGAGAGCTGAGT